ATTCCATTTCCATCTATTTCTTTAGCTAATTTCTGTAATACTTGTATGCATAACATTCCAGAACGTTTCAATTTCACTTGCATTTCATTTAATTGTCATTTGTGCATATCCCATTTCATTTCAATAACAATTCCGATCATGACATTTGATTAATACCATTTTGATGGCACTTTTATGCCCATTTCTCTCATTTTCACTTCCATTTCCATTTTCAATTTCATTTCCGTTTCATTACCAATTCTCGGCCGGTTCTTTGCGTCATTTGAATTCCGTGCGTGTTGCGCGTTCTTATGTAATTGCAATCGATGCCCCTTAGCCCACATACACCGCCCACCACAAGCCCAGCTCCCTTTGGGCCCGCGAACGTGCTCGCTGGCAGCTGACACTTTCTACCTTTCGGCCGTGCCGCCGCCTCACATCTGCGCGCGCAAATTATTATCAATTTGTGCACGTCGAAGCTATAAATAGTCGATCATGCGGCTACCGCGGCATAAAAAACGATTATACGGAAAACCAGCCGAAAGGAAAGTAAGCGCCGATAAGCAGACACACGTTTGAAAGATAGCCACAGTCACCAAACTAATATCAAGCCCATAAACAACAAAAATGTCCCTGCTCGGGCGCCACTTGATTGGCATTGGCTGAAATCAAGTTCATAGCCAAGTTGGCGGATATAGACCAAGGCGTAGACCAGGAAAACTGGAAATGCAAAAGGCGACAGCAGCTTGTCATGATCAGCCAATCTGGACAATGGGGAAAGGCAGATAAGGCAACCAAAAACTACTAGTTATGGCGGAGATCTTATCGATTACATGCACTGCACAGTTGCAAAAAAAAAAACAAACGAGTGGGTGAATGATATAGACGCAAAACATGCCAGCTATTGCAGCAGCAAACGAAAGTTGTACAGTAAATGTTATCGATAACAGTAGCAGCCAAAATTATTGAACAATTTGGGTATAACTCTTGCTAGTTAGCCCCCAGTTATCGTTAATATCTACAACATAAGGCTGACAAGTTAATGAAAAGTTATGGCCCAGCTGTTATCGATAATAATAGTTACTGGGCATAACAACTTTTGTTTAAAAGCCGACAGTTATCGATAACATCTACAACATAAGGCTGACAACTTAATGAATAGTTATGGCCCAGCTGTTATCGATAATAATAGTTACTGGGCATAACAGTTCTTGCTAAAAAGCCGCCAGTTATCGATAAAATCTACAGCATGAAAATCACAAGTAAAATGGAAAGTTATGGCCCAGTTGTTATCGATAATAATAGTTACTGGGCATAACAGCTCTTGCTAATAAGCCGCCAGTTATCGATAACATTTACAGCATGAAAGTCACAAGTAAAATGGAAAGTTATGGCTCAGTTGTTATCGATAATGAGTGCTATCAATAATTCGTGCTGCTTGTCGCCGCGTTATGCGAATAAAAGTGGATAACAACTGTTATTGATAACATGAACTTATAAAGGTAAAAATATTACACTTGTGTTCGATAATATGTTACAAAAATACAACTAAAATAATCGAATAATTGTAGCTGTTATCGATTACATGTGCATTTCTTAGTTTGAGCTTGAAAACTTTTCTTTGCATTAAGGGAGTGAAGCCCGCAAACATATTGTCACAGTTGTTATCGATAACATGTGAAAACTACGTGCAGATTGCATTAAAAAAGAAAATAAATAATAATAATCACGCAGCTGTTATCGCTGGCATGCTTGGCGGATATTTGGAGCACAATTCACTGCAATAAGGAAAGAAAATACTTTGCACAGATGTTATCGATAGCCAGCGCATGTCGCGTGAGTAATTAGCTATTGTTGTCGGTTGACAGACAGACTTGGCTAATGTGCCGCAACAGAAGCAAACGCGGCCGGAAATGTGAATGGAACTCGGCGCCATTAACTAACGCATCAACTAAGCCAGCTGACTAATTAGTCGCGGTCTTTTAAATATATATATAAATAAATGTGTTTCGATGCGGCAAACGGCAGCGAGCGTGATTCAGGTGAGAAAGTGTCAAGACCTGCAGTTGGCTGTTAACTTGGCTTTACGGCCACGCTGAGTGACCCACTAAAAAGCTGAGCTATGCAAATAAAACACACAAAACGACCGAAAATATGCAGACAGATGTCATCAATTATGAGCCGTAAACTAAGCCCAGTCATAATTAAAAGCTGTCAAATCATAATTGACGGACAGACAAATAACTGTCCATAACTTCATGTCAACTGTGCTCCCAACAATGTGTAAATTGCATAAGAGAGCAACAACAATGAACAATCGACAAGAGCTCATCATACTGGAGCTAAAGCCACAGACATAGTTCGCTGGGAGTAGCTGCTGAGCAGGGGCGTAGTGTGGAGGGGGGGGGGGGGCTCTATATACATAAATATATATATGATGCAAAGCTTGAGGCACACAAATTCAATGAATGAAGAAAAGCTGAAAAGAGCTCGATTGCATCATCACCTTATCCATGCACGAGATGGCGTCAAAGATGGGTTTGAGCCTCGGGAAGCTGAAGTTGGGGTTCGAGCCGGCTAAAGCTGGCCCAAATCACAAATGGGGTCTGTCCCAAGGGCGTTGCATAAATTAACATGTTGCATACAGCAGCAGCTGCCGAGTTCGACGTTTGCCGTTTTACTTTTATATCTTTTTTTTTTTTATTTTTTACTATTATTATTTTGTGTGTACTATTGCGTTTGGCAGTTAACGGCGCTTTTTGATTTGAATTATAGTTTGCTTGTGTAGATTTTTGGTATTTGGTTTATGGCTCAGTTACAAGCGAACCGCGCGACGCGACGGGCTCTAAACGCGACTCGGAAACTTCCAGACTTCAAGTCAATTACATTTTCACGTTTTCATTGCGGGTAGTTAAAACATATATAAATCAGAGTATATAGATATACATATCTGCAAGTGTTTTTTTTTTTTTAATTTGTTTGGTTTTTTCGTGGCTTAACGCTTGCAATTCTCAACCAGTTAGCGCTGCGAGCAGGGCAAACATGCCTTGCCATCCGAGTGTCGATAGCCAATGGTTACTTTAATTAGTTAAACAGTTAAAGAGCTTTGTTTTTGTTGTGTTCATGCCTTGTTGTTTATTAGTTGTTATTTAAACAAGACATAAATTTTAGCTGTTTGTTTTATTATGAGCTAAGCAGCAAAAAAAAATGCTTTAGAGCACAGCGCCAAGCTGACGTTGCTTTGGCTTACACTCCCTTTCCATATTTCCCTCTGCCGCACACTTTGCATGTGCTTTGCATTCTTGAGTAACTTCGGTCTTTATAGTCCGATCTTTATAAAAAAATTTGAGTGCCTAAATATGGCATAGAAAAGTGTGTCTATACCCAAACCCAAATCCTTTTCGAGTTAAGCTTAACAAAACATGTCTCAAGATCAATATTTATCGCTTTTACAAAAGTTTTTACACTATTACATAAAAATAAACCCCAAATAATAAAGAAGTTTAAACTTTCGATTTGAGCAAGGAGCAGGAAGTGTCAGGAAGTCTCACTCTCTCTGCCCTTCTCTAACTCTCCCCCTCTCTCGTTTCCTCCTGCTTGGCTTAGCCTGTCTCTGTGCGCACTGTGTGGGGTTTGCTTTCACTGGTATCGTTTAAATCGACCACGACAACATGTTGTGGCCGTAGACTGGAAAAACCACAGCAGCAGCAGCCGCATCTAACGGACAGTGCGCAATTAAAGCTGACACTCGAACGGGCGGCGGCAGACGGCAAATGACATTCAGACAAACAAACCAAATAACGATATTGCATTTTACAATAACTAAAACAAAAAACAAAATATATATATATATATATATACATATAGAAAGAAAAACCAGAAAACTCGAGTATTGCGAGACGCGATGCAAAGTTGCGCTTTTCCGGCTGGCGGCATTGAACTTGAAAAACTTGAACTGCGTCGCATAATCGCAGCTCAGCAAAACAGAGGGAGAGAGAGAGAGAGAGGGAGAGGGGGAGAGAGTAAGAGAGCAGGTGGAGGGGGGCTCGCGCATGTCTTTAATGAGATGCCGTTTTGACATCATTTGAATTTGATTTTCAATCTGTGATTTGATAACTTTTTTTCTTTCTGTCTTTCGTTCATTTTCTCAATTTTTCGATTTAAAAAAAAAAAAAAAGAAAACTATTTTTTTTTTTTGTTTTGGTTGCTTGCGAAAAATGTAAACAAGTTCGTTGCCTAAGTCTTTTGTTTGTGACCGCGTGCAGCGTCCGCTGCGCGTGTGTGCGTGCTGGCCATGCAAATGAACGTCAACAATTGGCCAATTGGATTGCAAAATAGGCATCATCGCTTCCGCGCTGAGCCCCCGTTAATGATTAGCCAGTTCAGAGAGCTCGAGGCGTGGGATAATGTCTCATTTTTTCATGAGAATAAATGAATAGGCAGAAGAGAGGCAGAAACGAAACAGCAGAGAGATGATTTCATTTATCTAACCAGAAGTCAGACTATTTAATTATAATGCGCTATCTGGAATATAATTGGAATTAGCTTTGAGCTCAATTCAGCTGCAGCCTTCTCGACTGTTCGAGCTTCCCATCTTATGCAACCGAATATATCCCAGAGTCAGGCTTTAATTGCAAGGGTTGACTATTGAGAGACAGCGACAGAAAAGCTCTTATGCATTTTAGACCACCTTCTATACCATATATATAGTTATGTGTTAACTATTCTCTCTGTTTAAAAGATACTTTGAAGAAACTTAGCATAGATCAGCATATATTTAAGTGCTTTTCATTTCGTATGGCTCGGACTATGGGCCATATTATGGAGTTATGGGAAGAAGAATCAGAAAAACATCTAGATATTCGGGACTCCAATTCGGCTTAATGTCAAAAATATTTTGGCTCAAAGCGGTTTGGCTCAAGGCCAGCTTATCGCCATTCTAATCTATGCAAATCCATCATCATTATTTTATTAAGAATTTGTTGTTTTTTTTTTTTTGCAGTTCTGTCCATATTGCAGTTGAAATATGGGCCAAGAGGTATCGCAACAGCAGCAGCAACACCACAACCAGAACCAGAACCACAACCTGAACCAGAACCAGAACCTGAACCAGAACCAGAACCACAGCCTGAACCACAACCTAAACCTGAACCTGAACCAAAAGCGTGGACAGCCGCATCGCAAGAGCTACAAGGATACCATATACACGCCGGCCAGCCAACTATCGAGTAGCTGCAGCTCGAACAGCACGGACGACTACGAGGCCAACTATAGACTGCGCCACAAATACAATCTGAGCAAGCAGACATACGAGCGCACCAAAATCCTGGCCAATCGCAGCAGCCTGCCAACGGACAGTGATTCGCATTACGCCAAGCTGAACGGCAAGTATTTGCAGCGCAGCAGCTCCCAGAGCAGCGACAGTGGAATCTACAACTCCTCGTGCCACTGCTCATCGCTGTCATCGCTATCGGCGGTCAGCAGCAGCTCGGCGAGCTCGAGCAGCGGCTGTCCCAGTTCGTTGCTGTCCAGCAGGTCCGGTCGCTCGCTGGACAAGCAGAAGCACTATCTGAGCCATCATTTGTATATCAAATCGTATTTGGACATTTTGGAGGAGGACGAACGGGCGCGCGCCCATTTCAAGTCGGCACGTCCCGGCGGCATACGCAACTATACGCCAAAAATCTTGGGAGGCGGCGATTCAGCGGCCAGCTCTACGCTCTCAGAGAGTGCGCCCGCTGCCAGTTTTGGTTATCCGCACACAAATCCGCCAGCCAAGCAACGGGCCAGCGTTAGCTCCAATTGCTCAGCGGCCGCTGTTGTTGGTGGCAGAAATTGTCCGGAAGATCCGTGGATTTGACAATTACTGAAACATGGCGTTTGGCACAATGACGTCTTTGCTTGGCATGATCCCGCTGCTGGCGATCGGCATGAACTACTATCGCTATCAAAGCGTCGATCCCGAGAACAAAGTCCAGGAGCCATCAATCGTGAGTAACCAGTCCAAGCTGCAAGTGCTCTGAGTTAGGAGTGTTCCAGGAACTAGTTAAGTGCAGATGTCGCTTTTTGTTAATATCCTTGGGAAATAACTTCCAAGGAACAGTAGACTCTCCAAGTCAAGTGCTGGAAATATTAGATCAAGGAAAAGAAACTCGCGAATCTTATATAGTTCAGAAAGGTCTTCGGTAGTCTTGAGGAAATTTGATAGTTAAAGAGGAATTTCGAAGTGAAGGTTTAACTTTGCAAGGTCGGATTTCCTTCCATTCCATTCAAGTTAAATAAACCTGTGTTAGGTTATAGGAAGATAGGGAATTGGGAAGGTTAAAAGGGAACTCTGTTAGTGCCTCAACGTACTTTGGTTGTCAGAAAGACAGGCTACACTGAAAATAATATGAAAATGTCAAGAGTCTAAGACATTTTAGGACATATTATTCCATATAAAGTCAAGTTGCCCGTGCAGAGTGTTTAGGCTAGATTCGCAGCAACCAAAGGCCCTGATTAATGTTCGCTTTGAATTTTTGCAGATCCGGCGCCAGTATGACTTTGTGGTGATTGGCGGCGGCTCGGCCGGCGCCGTGGTGGCCAATCGCCTGAGCGAGGTGCGCAACTGGACGGTGCTGCTGCTGGAGGCGGGCGGCGATGAGACAGAGATATCGGACGTGCCCGCGCTGGCGGGCTATCTGCAGCTGACCGAGCTGGACTGGAAGTACCAGACGACGCCCTCATCGACGCGCCAGTATTGCCAGGCGATGAAGGGCGATCGCTGTTTCTGGCCGCGTGGCAAGGTGCTGGGCGGCAGCTCCGTTCTGAATGCCATGGTCTATGTGCGTGGCTCCAAGAACGACTACGATCACTGGGCCTCGCTGGGCAATCCGGGCTGGGACTACAACCAGATGCTCAAGTACTTTCTAAAGTCGGAGGATGTGCGCAATCCGTATCTGGCGGCCACGCCCTATCACGAAACGGGCGGCTATTTGACCGTGCAGGAGGCACCTTGGCGCACACCGCTCTCCATTGCCTTCCTGCAGGCGGGCATGGAGATGGGCTACGAGAATCGGGACATCAATGGAGCCAAGCAGACGGGCTTCATGCTCACCCAGAGCACCATACGTCGTGGCGCTCGCTGCAGCACCGGTAAGGCCTTCATACGACCGGTGCGCCTACGCAAGAACCTGGACGTGCTGCTCCATGCGGAGGCCACACGGCTGCTGCTCGACAAAGAGAAACGCACCATTGGCGTCGAGTACATGAAGGCGGGCCGCAAGCAACTGGTCTTTGTACGCCGCGAGGTAATACTCAGCGCCGGAGCGCTCAACTCACCAAAGCTGCTGATGCTGAGCGGGATCGGTCCCGCCGAGCATCTGCAGGAGCATAATATACCCGTCATATCGGATCTGCCGGTGGGCAACAATATGCAGGATCACGTGGGCCTGGGCGGCCTCACCTTTGTGGTGGATGCCCCATTGACGGTGACACGGAGTCGCTTCCAGACCATACCCGTATCCATGGAGTACATACTGAGGGAGCGCGGCCCGATGACATTTTCGGGCGTTGAGGGCGTTGCCTTCTTGAATACCAAATACCAGGATCCCGCCGTCGACTGGCCAGATGTACAGTTTCACTTTCTGCCCAGCTCCATCAACTCGGATGGCGGTGAGCAGATACGCAAAATATTGAATCTACGCGATGGCTTCTACAATACGGTCTATAAGCCGCTGCAGCACAGCGAGACCTGGTCCATATTGCCGCTGCTGTTGCGGCCCAAGAGCACCGGCTGGGTGCGTTTAAATTCGCGTAATCCGCTGCAGCCGCCGAAGCTGATACCCAACTATTTTGCCCATCAGCAGGACATCGATGTGCTCGTGGAGGGCATTAAGCTGGCCATCAATGTGTCCAATACGCAGGCCTTTCAGCGGTTCGGTTCGCGCCTCCACAACATTCCGCTGCCGGGCTGCCGGCATCTGGCCTTCCAATCGGACGCGTATTGGGCGTGCTGCATCAAACAGTTCACCTTTACCATATATCATCCGGCGGGCACCTGCCGCATGGGACCCAGCTGGGATGTTACGGCCGTTGTTGATCCCCGTCTGCGCGTCTATGGCGTCTCTGGACTGCGTGTCGTGGATGCCAGCATTATGCCAACCATTGTCAATGGCAATCCGAATGCGCCAGTTATAGCTATTGGCGAGAAGGCGGCGGATATGATCAAGGAGGATTGGGGCGCACGTCGAGCAGCCGCTGGCTAGCTGCACTCAATGTTGCTGTTGTTCGTTTCCATCAACTAGTCAAATGTGTTATAAAAAAAACGTATTTTTTTTTTTGTTTTTGTTGCAGCAACATCTTGTTTAGTTTTAGGTTATATTTTATAACTCCAGCTATATTATTTTATCTTTTTGTTAAATATTTATATAAATATTTTTATTTATTTCTATTTGATATAATTTAATGCACGTGCATGTATTTTTATTTGTTTTTAGTAGCTATAAACGAATAAAAACTTTTAACTCTTAGAGCAATTGAATTTTTTGATTTACATTTTCAGCCGCAGCCTGCGCGTATGCAACAGTTTTTTGTGCAGCGAATGCACTAACCAGATTGCTGCTCCGCGCTTAGCACATACACGCACCACAGTGATGTGGCCAAATCGGTTTACATTTACACATTATTTATATTAAAGGAAATTGAAGGGTCTTGTGAGTATTACTTGTTGCCTAAAACTATCAATGATTATGGTTTAATTTAAGCCCACGTTCAAACAGGCAACTTGTCCGCTGTTTTATATTTTAAGCGAAAATAAATTAACAGAGCCGCTGAAAAGTATGCTGCACTTAATTAATTTAGCGGCTGTTTGGCATTTAGCACATACACACACCAGCTGCCGTTTGCCAGCTGTCACGTATACGTGACGTTGGCCATTTGAGCGTTTTTTGGCTTCCGCTATTTGGTCAAAATTAAAAGCCTGGCCAAATGTCAAATTACCAAATTGCTTGAGTGGCAATCAAATGGAATCATAATACAATTTCCGTGACTAGCCGCGCGAACGCTGAGGCGTGGCCATCAAGTATTTCCTGCTTGTACAACCGATTTTACCTATTAGCCTCTGCATCTGCTTGTCTCTCAAGCTCTTGCTCGCTCTCGCGCTCCCTGCCTCTCTTTCACACTCACACCAATTGCTGTGCAACTGTGCCAAGGTTAAGCACTAAAATTAACGCATTGGCGACATATTTGGCAGCGCTCACGTTTTATTTCGTAGGTGTCAGCCGGGGAACGGCCCAGACAACATTTAAACCAGGTAGTTAAAACGGTTAGCGCCGTTAGTTGAGTTGGCCAAGTTAACAGCGTGCAGCTAATGCGGTCGATCAATACGCCGGGGCATGGCCCAATTGGTTGACCAATTCAATTGCAAGACGCAGCGCTAATTTTTGGCCTGACAGTGCCGTTTCCCAATAAACAATTCACAATTTGCAATTTGAGTGCGTCCATAAAATAGAATGCCGAGCAGTGCAAATAGCTAGACTAGCAGGATACCCTAAATGCGTAGCCAGAAGCATGCAAATATGTTTTCACACAACTCAAAGGCTTGTAACTGCAGAGTTCCGATAGAGAGGCAGCTAGAAATGTCTGCTTTAAGTTGCTCGAGAATCTAATACACAGCTGCAGTTACCCTAATTTTGGCTCTAACTACAGGGTATTAAAGACCAGGCTACGCATACGCAATTGTGCTGAGCAGAGCTGCACATAAACCACCCAAGGCGTTTCTTATATAAGGACCTTTAGACAGACGTCGAAGTAAATATTTGATTTGATTTAAACGAAATGCCCAGTCATTTTATGGCCAACTGAGGGCAAACTGTGGGCGCACAAAGGGCAGGGCAGTGCGAAAGTTGGACCAAGGAGAGGGCGGGAGGGGCGGGGTGTGGCAAAACGACGAAACGATGCGGCGTACGTGAGTCCAAAATTAATGGGAAAGTGTTATGCGAAAGACGTTGGCTGGGCCAAAGCAGAAGCGAGTGAGTAAACAATAAAACAGTCAACAGAGTCAGAGCTCATCACAATGCAGAAGACCAAGATGCCAATGATGATGGCAATGGTGATAATGATGTTGTTGTTGATGATGATGACACACAGTGCGAAGTGCTCAAAGTGTCTGTGGTCAGTGCGGCAACACGAATTTGGGTCATTAATCGACTGCGAGCGGCAGCCGCGAGCCAAAAACAATGCAACACGCAACCCGGGAACGAAAAAGCAATTGGCACATTTAATTTTTTTTTTAAGTTTTTTGGTTTTTGTAAAAGATGTTGCCCGGCCAGTTGTTGTTGTGCTCATCGCAAATGTATGTTGCAAGTTGAGCTGGGCGTGGTGGACATGTCTGCTCTCTGTTGTTTTCTTCCCCCATTTCGCTGAGGATCAACACGCGGCTAATTCAACACCTTGGCGAAGAAGACTTGAATGAAGTGTTACAACACCAGCGCGAACAGATATTACACGTCTGTGTAAATACTATGCTGAGGCTACGAGCTTTACAACCAGCAGCTAAGCTGCCTCTTCCCGCAGATCCACTTCATGGCATATGCTAACTTGTGTAACTTCGGACTTTATGGTCCGATCTTTGTGAAACTTTCTAGGCATTAATGTGGCAATCACATGTGTGGTTTACCTAGAGGCCAAACCAAAAACAAAAAGGGTAACCTCGTGAAAATCGGATGAGATTTGACCAAGTTATGAGGGTGCGAAATTTTAACCTATGTCTATATAGAATATTTGAGGGTATACCCGGCCTTGCCCGTGGCACAAATAAATTCTCTAAAAGATCTTTGAAAATGAGTTTAAAGCCGCTTTCCATCTCTTACGGTTTGGGCTTTGCGTTGATCAGTCAATCAATCAGTCAGTCAGTCAGTCAGTCAGGACAAACAGAGAAATACGATACAACTTATATTTATCAGGTTCGTACATCCCTTTCCAAACACTTTTTAAATGGATTCAGCGCATTACAATGTATTCGTACTATATTAAAATATTTACAATATTAATAATAAAACTCAACCTGGTCAAATCCCATTGAAATCTGTTTGTTTGTCCAGGTAATTGAAGTTATGCTTAATGTGAATTACTCAAAAAACCAAAAAACAATAGTTAATCCGTACCTACAATCATTTTGATGAAATGAACATAACAAATATACAGAGAAAAATAGTATAAATAAAAAACAACGCCAAAAACCCATCCAAACCGTCCAAATGGCCTGATCTGTGACTGAGTCACGAAAGCTGGGAGCAGAGCTGTAAAAAGATCATTTACCAAGGGTTATCGAATGTCATGTCGGAAAGCCATCCGCCAGTGAGTCGCAGACAAGAAACAATACAAATTGAAAAGAGACTCAAATCAATTTGTGTGCGATTCGTTTGAATCAATCAAAAGCTGCAGAGTACTCGAGTTATGGCTGTGGAATGCATTGGCAAATACCCTATATGAAATTCCACCCCATGACTATCCCATAAATGCCGCAACAGACGGCATCGAGTCGAGTTTATGTGTCGACGTGATGTCGAACACATTTGACGATGCAGGCAAAGCAACAAAAAAATCACACCAAAATAAAAGTAGAAAAGGAAAACAAGTAAGAGTGCTCCTAGTCGAGTGTGCGCGACTAGCAGATACCCTTTACTTGATGCAAATACACACAAATATACAAGCACAGACAAGCTGGAAACTAAAGGCAGCGGCCCTTTCTTCTTCCCTTGAACCCTTTGACTTGAATAAATGCGATCTTGAATAGCTTCGGTGTTTATAGTCCGATCTTCTTTATCTTCAGCTCTGATAGTGTCTGAGATCTCGAATCGCATACTGAAGCTTTCAACTGAATCGACTCAGCATTGAATGCTGGACAAGAATATATATTATACATAATATAAATATATATATCTACACATATTTCTATACATACTACTATATATAATATAAGTGGTTGGAATAGCCATATTCGCACAAAGTCAGCATACCCTGTGCAAATGGGGCACAGGGTATTTAAAGCAGAGCCGGCAAAAGCAGCTGTCTTCAGATACGGCACCAAATTGAATAATGTCTGCTTAATTTCGGTCAATTATGCCGCCCGAATCCAAACCAAAACGAACCGAGCCAAAACCGAACCCGAAGCAAAAGCGAGCCCCAATGCGAGCTGAGGCGAGGCCAGGCGACGCGGTGCGATACGGGAGCGGGGGCGGGGACGGGGGCGGTGCAAGTCCCAAACGAATGACGGAGACATGTAATTTTGTTGGCAATTCGGCCGTGGGTAGGCGGGGGGCGGGGCGGTGCGCAGAAATCTGGGAAACGCTTGGCAGCATTGTCAAAAACAAAAACAAAAAATCACTTCATTTTTTTTTTTTTTTTTTTTTGTTTTTTTTTTTTGAGCAGTTCGATGGAAATGCTTACGTCATGGGCAAAATGGAAGGTGTCTGGCCAGGCACTTGATTGGGCTCACGTAGGCAGCGCGATAGCGGCGGAAACTTTTGGTAACTGCCCTTAGCCAGAGCAAGAGTCTTTAGCTGGCTGGCCATTAATTGGATGCGGTTGCACCAATACCAGAGCAGCTAGCCGGAGTGGCCAGCAGCTCGCTCACATCTCGGTGGTTCATTCGCTTCCTGACGCTTCTCGAGGCGAAAGTACATTTTGACTTTGTATACCCTGTAGGTCACAAGTGTGCACAGAAAGGGTTTCACTAAGCTCTGCGATTAGGTTTCCGGGCTTTAGTTGGGTCTTGGCCCTTTACCAAGCGATCTTCTCTCACTTAATTTGTGGTGAGCCAATGGATCGAATCCTGAACTGAACCCTTATATATCACTTTATACTTAAGCCTTGTTCATATAGTTATGTTGGATTAAATCTTATCTCTGATCCCTTTTCTTAACAACGAGCAGAAATAGCTCGGCGTTGCCCCTGTTAAAAAGCAAACCAAGAAAACGTCTGTGTATTTGACAGCATTATTAAGAGCTAACCGATTTGAGCCAGCGATCTCTCCCATATTAGTCTAAAGCTGATGCGCTAAATAAACAAATAGAAAATGTTTTAAAGAGCAGCTTGATTTGAGCCGGCGACCTCTCGCTTGCTTTGATACTAAATATACAAATAAGCGAAATTGAACACATGTACTTGGTTTGAACCGGCGATCTCTCCCTTATTAATCTAATGCTTAGAAGCCTAACAAACAAATTGAAAAAAAAATTAAAAGTATCTGCTTAATTTGAACGAGCGACCTCTCGCTTGCCAGCCCGACGCTCAGACACCTTATATGAGTGCGTTTTTGGTGCTCATTTAAGAGCAGAGGGTATCTGCCAGTTGAGCCAA